TCAGGATTTGGGGACAACAAAGAAGAGTAAGGGTGGCTCCACACCCCCAGTTTTGTCAGTCTCCCTAAGGGGAAGGATAGGTGCCTAATTATAATAAAGCAGAGTATATATACTATAATACTATCTTTTTATTTTTATCTTATTCATCATTTAGATTTTAATGAATGTTTTACAAAAGGAAGTTTTCAAAGATTTCTTTGGTGAGTGGGGTGAACTTTCTGAGTTTGATGCACAAATGCTTATCTAGGTCATCCATGACTGTTACCTCTTCTATTTTTTTTTATTTCATCATATTATGGGGGTACAAATATTGTTAAGGTTACATATATTGCCCTTGGCACCCCTCCCCCCCGCCGTGCCAGAACTTCAAGCATGTCCATCCTCCAGGTGGTACCTATCACACTCATTATATAACTATATGCCCATCCCTCCTCCCCCCTCCCCCCTGCCCACCACCCAATAAAAGTCATTTACTATCTTTTAAATTGCTTTACTGATATAACCTATTTCCAACTACTTATGCACTTTGCAGTTGGGGAGACTGGAAAGTGTACTTTATTTCTCACACAAATATTTTTATTCTCTTTAGTAGAGAATAAATTAATAGAAAATCAATTTTTATTTATCTAATTACACTATTAGTGGTTTCTATACCCAGATCTCCACAACATTTTGTCAGTTTTTCATGTTGTCCAGAATCCTACTGAGATTATAACATGTGATATATTTGGAGAGTCTTTTCACTAATTTATCAGGCTGAAATGGTGAACAGTGATCATCTGTATTTCATTGTTCTTCTGAAGCAGATTCTTAGTAGAAGTTTAGAAGCTGACACCTCACATTTCTTATCTTCAAAGAGATGCTTTCTCATTAAAATTTAAAACTTGTCTTTTCTTGTTTTGTCTACAAATTTTATTTTATTATTGGATTATAATGTGCTGTATGCCTTATGGGACATTTGACCAACAAAGCAATGTATTTTATAATTTTAAGTTTACAGTCACAGTCAAGATGCAATCTCATAGCCTCTTGTCTGTGGAAATCACAAGCCTAGACTTCTCCAAAGGAAATGCTTCTTTCAAACATAAGCTCAAGAGGTAATCTAGTTTTAAATAATCGGATTCTTCCATTGAACTATCAACTCCGTGGGCATATATCTGCTTTCTTTTCTAGGGAAGGGTCAGCAGCAAACCCTATCCAGATTTTTGCAGTGAGTAGCCTCTGCTTTTACACATGTATCTCATTACTTTCAGAGAGCACCTTTGTGTATCTCAAAGAAGAGGGACTTCAGAAAGTGAAATTAGAATGTCTTAGTGAGTAAACTGTCAAAAATGAATGTGGGTCAAATATGCATTCAATTTTCACAATATTAAAAAAGGGAAGCTATAGTTATACTGCAGTGTTTCCAAACTGATTATACAGAACAGAGGCTCAGCTTGATGCCGACCGTTTATATGCATTGCCAGGCTAAACAAGTACTTTTAAAGGTTCATCCATCACAATTTATGGTACATTAAGCCAAATATAATGTTCTCACAGGCTGGTGTTAAGGGATTTTCAATATTCAAAATAAGAAATTGCATTTGGGGAAAGGGATTTCTCCTCTCTTTTTCCATAGAATTTCTTCAGTTCTATGGAGTCTCGTTAAGTCTATTGGACCCCTGTTACACTCCAGTACTAATCACAGATTGATTTTAAGAGTTTGAAATCTTAACTGGTAGCAGGAAATGACTTTAAATTAACATTGCATCAACTACTATAAATCGTTCACTGAAAAAGAGAGTGTTTAATTATAAACGAAGGAACCTACTTCCCAGCTGATTAACTATATTAAACACTTTATATTTTCAATGCTCAAACACAATTACTAATAAGCTATTTCTCACAATGGGTCTCCAAGGGAGCCTAATACTATCACATCCTATTTTTAAAAATGACTCACTTGACCCATAAAAATTAGATTGCCCATCTTGGACCACATAGAAATGAAAAACTAGAAGTAGGTTGCAAGTTCTCAATGTACCTACACCTAGTTTACAGAGCTATGCTCTTAGTTTTCTGAGCAAAGTGAGAAAACCAAATAAATTTCAATCTCTTCTGTTACTATAGGTGACCATACACACACACACACACACACACACACACCACGTATTCATTTTTTTTTCCCTTGAACATTTCTGTTGTGTATGCAAAACTCATGATTTTGTGACAAGGACAGCATAAACAAGCACAGAGAATTGGCTCCCCAGTAAATGATCTTTACTACTTATTCTGATATTCCTTAACTTGAGCTCACTTAACATACTTACTTGTCCTTCTTTTCCTCTTTAGAAGCTGTGTCATTTGGAAGTCTAGTACAATTAGCTTAGACCAAATCATAGAATTGTCTGATACTGAGGTCAACAAATATTTTTGGCAATGAGTTCATTCTTAAAAGAACACTTGATTATATTGCTGTCTATCAAATTGTATAATTGTATATCATATTTAATCTTATTAATTAATTATGGTTTTACAATCTATAATATTTTTTACTTTGGGTTTTTAAAGTTATTTCTATGAATAAAGAGCCTATAATGCATAATATGGATATTGATTTCATATTTTTTTACAAATGGCTTTTGAGTTGTTTAGTAGTTTAAACCTAATTTAGCTAATGAGTTTGCAATTTTCTCAATATCAATATCACTTTAATACGTCTCTTTTTGGAGCACAGAACTAGAGAATAATAACTGCATAGTAAATACATGGTAGTCGTTTAAGAATCTCAGTTTTTTTATTGTGTGTGTTTGTATATGGCAATCAACATATATAACTTTGTAGTGTTCCCTAAGTTTAATAATATTAATTTATTAATAAATTAATATGTAGAATTTTAAAACTTCAAAATTATAACTTTTGTCTAAAAAATTATATTTCTGCTTATTATTTCTCTTTGGGAATGGGATAAGGAAAATGCTTAGAAAATGAAAGACAGCTGATTTAAGTATTATGGTGCTAACAAAAGTAAATGCTCTTGACATTTTTTATATCTATTTAAAAAAAGAAAAGGATAGTCTATGCTATTATAATTTGTTTTGTTCTGTAGAACTTCAGTTATATTTGAACTGCATGTGCACAATATTATATGCCAAATATGGTAGCCAGATATAGGCATTTTCATCACATTTCCCTTTCTAAATAAAATATGAAGTCATACTTCAGTGCTTTCAAAATATAAATATGTGGCACTGTGTAATAGAATACCATAATTCATCCTGATTTCATCCTAGGTTAACCTAATAAAGATATGTTTAGAGATATATAAGTTGCCTTTTATTATAGAAAAATGTAACAAACGAACAATATGAGAATGTGATATAGATATTTGTCTCTGGTTTTTTTTAGGACTGAAGCTTAGTGCATTTTCTAAACAATAATTTGGGGGTTCTCTGAGATTCAAACTTCTTAAAGCATATAAAACATTTCATACCTATGTAGTATATGATTTCTCTAGACATAGGTATTGTGTTTCATGAATAAATTGGGCTGTAATGTTTGTGTATGGAAGCTGCAATACATGAGGTTATGTCTATTTTGTTCATCTCATGTAATCAGGGAGTAAGAGCTCTATAAATATGTCTTGAATAAAAAGAAACAAACGTTGTTTTTAGTATTCATTTACTTTTCCTCACCAAGAGGCAAACAAGAAAGCAGATGGAAATATTTCAAGGTAAAGAGTAAAGAAATTTAGAAACAAAATTTTTTAAGCTTTAAAAATGTGTTCATGTCTAGTTTATTCTGTACAGTTCTATAGACTTTCTTGGTGCTTCCTGGCTTTTGTTGGACTAATTGGAAAAAAATTGGTTAAATTTTGGAGTGGTTATCCAGAATGCAGTTAGAAGGGCTCTGGTGTCGGCAGGTCCACTAAATTCATGGCATTTTTCACAGTATCATTATAGTTAGGTTTAATGGTAAAAGTGAATGACAAATATTTTATTCTGATAATTATATTTCACTACATATGGTATATTTCATTATATAGGGATAGTTGTTATGGAAGAGGGAAATGGGGAAGATATTGGAAAAAAGAAAAATGTGTGCATAAGTGAATCTATGTCATAAAAGAGAGCAAATTCTATTTCACACTGAACTCCATGGTGTCATTCAGAGTTCAGGTCCTTAGAAAGCCTGTAGATGCTTCCCCAGCCGCCTCTGGTAGTCAGCACTACTGACCCAGATTGTGAGAACAACAGTGACCGCAGACCCAGAAAGCACTGCTGTTCAGATACAAACATGGCATGTTTACTAAGCCATCTGCCAAGAGGTTCTTTTGGTTAACTGCGTGAGAGAGCCAGTAAACATGTTTAACTGGAAATGTCTACATATGGTAGAACAGAGCAGTTCTTTGAAATGTTTTGAAATTTTTTTTGCCTTTTTTTTCAATTCAGATTATTTCAATATATGAGTATGCCTCATGCATGTGAACTGAATCAGATCTTAACTAAACTAGTTTTGACCACATGTAGATACAACCTTAGAAGAATTTCCTTTAATATGATATTTGTGCAATATTTGAGTTGTTTAGCAAAGTATGCAATAACTAAGTGGTGATATAGGGAAGGAATTATACTAAATGATCCATATTATTACTTTTAATTTTAATACCCTATGACTTAATATAAAATGATTTCATCATTTTCTCAAAATTAAATGACAACAATGTTTAAGTATGATTGTATATAGATTTCAAACATTGCTTTTTATGTCACTGGAAAATATTGTGCAATTTATAAAAATCAGTGTTTAGAGACTTTAAGTTACTTAGGTTTTTAGATTTTTCTAGATTACTTAAACAAGGTTTATTGATATGTACGCTACCTAGATATAACAAAAAAAATATGTGCACTTTATTTTATTTTGTTTTACTTTATCTCAGCCTAGAGATGATTATCTAGAGTGAATGAATCCCCCAAATTAGGAAAGTAACACTAACAACTTATGGAATTTTTATTTTTTAGCATTAAAAAAGGGACGATTTTGGATCACGCCAGATCCTTATCACAAAGATGACAACATCCAGATTGGGCGTGAGGTGAAAATATCTTGCCAAGTAGAAGCTGTTCCTTCTGAGGAGCTAACATTCAGTTGGTTTAAAAATGGCCGTCCATTAAGGAGTTCTGAGAGGATGGTTATTACACAGACAGATCCTGACGTCTCCCCGGGAACAACAAACCTGGACATCATTGACTTAAAATTCACGGATTTTGGGACATACACATGTGTAGCATCACTGAAGGGAGGAGGAATATCTGACATCAGTATTGATGTTAATATATCCAGCAGCACAGGTAAGAAGCATGTTTATGATGCAAAAGATATTCACGTTTAAAATAATTAAAGTTTAGCAGATAAAATCGTCTTTTTTCTGAATAGTCTTTAGTTAAGAACATCATTATTTTTTAAAAGCTTCCTAAAAACAAAACTCTAATATTCTGAATGCTCAGTAAATATCGTGTTGTGAAACATTGTTACTTCTATTTTGATTTAGAGTTACAGGATATTTTACAGAAATTGTGCAAATAAAGTTAATAGCATTGACTAAGATAGATAGAGGCTTCTAGGTTAAATAATAGCACTTTTCCATTAACTATAAACCCTCTGTAGAGCCTAAAATTATATTAGTAAAGTTAAACAACAAATGTCTTAAAAGGTAACATCAATTTTCAGAACTTATAAAGAAACAAACTATTTAGTTTTAAGGTAAATATACTGAGAGAGAATTTAAGAGTGTTCAAATACAAGACATATAAGGAATGTATCCTCCACTAACAAAAACTGATGTTAAAGTTGTAGTCAAATGTGACTTTTTGGAAAATCATCTGGTAGAATTTCTTCACCATGAGTATAGTTACATGTGAAACTATATAGCAGTAAAATTCTTTCTTTTAAGGTTAAAAATATGCTATTAAGTTTATCTTAACTAAATGAACATCTGTAGACAAAGAAAATCCCAGAGTTTTGATGAATATTCAGATTCTTTCAAGTTCTTTAATTTTATGAAGTACAATCAGCATACATCAGAGAGCTGCAAAGTAGCTGTATGTGTTTTGCCAACCTGTTACCAGATTGAATTTTAATTGAAGATTCTTACATTATGCTAGGTGAATAATATGTGTTGAAAAGACACTCGGTTTTTAATAATGTTTAACACTTGTTTTTCCTTTCCAATCATGAAGCATTTTGACTTTTATAATTTAGGATATTCACTTGTAATTTTGTGCCTTCTCATGGTTCCAAATTATAATGCACACTGGATTGGTTTTATGCCTTAAAAAATAGAGGTCCATACTTCTGGCTGACAAAATATACTTACTTTCCAAAATTCTACTTTGTTTCTAAAAGACAATCAATTTTTATCATCTACAACTAATGTAAATGGACATTAGGGTGATGAAAAGTACTTGTGTTTAACCTTCATTCCTTTTCTAGGTAAAAACATCAAGAAACAACAAGAGCTATTTTTCATCTAAATGACATTTAAATATTGGTGTTAACACTGGGACATAGATTCATTTAGAATATCTGATGAAAAACCATTGATCTGCCCAGTTATCATTTGTTTATATATTCATTCAATCAACAAATATCCATTGATTGTATACATCAGTGTGCTAGGTGACACTGTTCTAGGGGACATCCTACATATGATATTTCCTATACGAGTGAGAATAATAGTGTAAAATCTAGGATCATTTGTCCTTATTTTTTGAGAGATGCTTTTCTAGAATTGTTATGTACTTAATTATAAATCATTGCTTTGTTTTGTTTGGTTGCTTGTCTAGTTTTATTTTCTTTTTCAGAGCCAGTGACAAAAAGGCCAGATCCAAAGAATCAATGCTTCTATCTAAAGGACTCCTTTGATGGGAGTACAGTTTATATACTATTTATCTTAGACCAAAAAAGGAGCACAGAATGCAGAGAAGAAGAGAACATTATATAGTTACTTACAGAATGAGCCCTAACACTCATTTTTAAAATATACTTGTTATATTGCCTATTTGAAATTATGTATTATAAATGGCAAAGTAGAAAGGATGACTGACATTGATTTATGAAATTTCCAAAAATCTTAAAGGGAAAATCCAAGATTATCAGAGAACAGAGATCTTCCTTCAAAAAATGCCTCTTAGTAATCAGAGACTAATTGTAATGATTACATTTTCTTAATTATCATTAATCTCTCTGGTTACCAAATGAAACAAAAGTAGAGTTAAATATATATATTAAGTCTTTTTCCAAAACACTACCCCACCTACTACAGACAGACCTGGTTCCTCCCTAGAGTGAACGCTTCATGAAGTTTTAGTCTTTGTCTATATTGCTCATTATCATAATCTCAGCATCTGGAATAAGACATGGCACATAGTAGGTTCTTAGTAATATTTGAATAATGAAATAAGCTAATTTGTGCACATAGCTTTCCTTATAGGTTTTCTTTCCTCCTATTATCTCTGTAGTACAGACATTTGCTGCTCCTCTTACTGCCCTTGTGATTCCTTACTGACTTTAAGATAAGCTATTTGATAGAAAAATTTATACTATGACTTAATGTGTTACACTCCCAGGGGCAAGACTGGCTCCATAATTTGTGATGATCAGTGAAAATAAAAATGTGTGTCCCTTGTTCAAAAATTAAGAAATCCACAATGGCAGCATCAGACCATTAACCCAAGCTTGGAGACCTTCTTGTGGTGTCTACATGGGTGGTAGGCTCATCAGGCTGGCATGCCCAAGAGTTTGTATTATGATAGAAGGCCTGGAGACCATAATACTTAACCTAAAGTATGAGTCACTAAAGGCAATTTTATATTCTATCTTCTTGCTGAAACTGTATTTGATGTTTGACTTCGCTGCACACCCTTTTACTGCATCTACTGGCTCACTATAAAAGGTGTGGTTGAATCTCACCCAGAAGTACCACCCACTGGCCCAGAGACTAAACAGGGCATGTCATTATCCAAATGAAAATCTAAAGGTAAAAAGCAACAGCTGATCCAAATAGGAAGGAATCAGTTAAATAACTCTGGAAGTATGAAGACTCTAACAGAAAGCACACCCCTGAAGGGGAACACCAACTCTCTAGCAGTGGACATCAACCAAATTCAGAACACTAAAATGACACAAGAAGAATTTAAAACATAGATTGGAAGAAAACTCAATGATATGCAAGAAAAAAATGGATAACTGACACAAAGAAACTAAAAAAAAAAAAAAGGAAAAATCCAGGACTTGGAAGAAAAATTCACTAAAGGAACTGAAATATTAAATAAAAATCAAACCAAACCAAACTACTGGAAATGAAAAATTTATTCAAGGAACTATAAAACACAGTGGAAAGCCTCAAGAACAGGGTAGAGAAAACAGAAGAAAGATTCTCAGGGATTGAAGATAACACCTTTTAATTAAATAAGTCAGACACAGAGATAGAAAGAGCAAAGCCTACAAGAAATGTGGGATTATGTGAAGAGGCCTATAGTGAGAATCATAGATATCGCTGAGGGTGAAGAAGAAAATACACAAGGGTTGGATAAGCTATTTGAGGATATGATAGAGGAAAATTTCCCAGGCCTTGCTAAACATCTAGATATTCAGGAACAAGGACTGAAAGGACTGAAAGGACTCCTGGGAGATTCATCGCAAACAAGAAGACATTATGACACACAGTCATCAGAGTGTCCAAAATAACCACCAGTGAGGCCCTCCTGCAAGCTCTAAGGTGAAAGAAGCAGGTAACCTACAAAGAAAAACCCATCGCAATAAAGACAGAATTTTCAACTGAGACAAAACAAGCAAGAAGAGACTAGGGCCCCATTCTCACTTTTCACAAACAGAATAATGCCCCCCATAGAATCTTATACTCTGCAAAACTAAATTTTGTATATGAAGGAGAAAGAAAGAGCTGCTCAGATAAGCAAAGCCTGAGGGAATTCATCAAGATAAGACCTGCCCTCCAGGAAGTATTCAAAACAGTGTTACACAGCTATCAGCACAATAAACACTCACAAATGTAAAATCATGCAAAAGCTAAAGGTCAAAGGCCAGATACCGGAATGGTATCTCTTACTCAAGAGAGAACAAAGCAACAACATTCAACTCAACAGGATGAACAGAAATCTTCCCCACTTATCAATTCTCTCAATAAGTGTGAATGGCTTCAACTGCCCACTAAAGAGACATAGGCTCCCGGAATGGATAAATATACACAAGCAAAGTATATGATGTCTTCAGGAAACACATATAAACCCACAAGAATGCATTCAGACTCAAGGTGAAGGGATGGAAAACAATATTTCAAGCAAACGGAAGCCAAAAGAAAGCTGGCATGGCAGTTCTGATTTCAGATAGCTTAGTCTTCAAATCAGCAAAAGTAATAAAAGACAAAGAGGATCATTACATAATGGTGAAGTGTACAATTCAACAAGGAGACATAACAATTCTAAATATTTATGTACCTAACTCAACTGCACCCAGATTCATAGAGCAAAGCCTGCTTGATCTATACACATTGATAAACAGTAGCACTATAATAGCTGAGGACTTCAACATGCCTCTGACAGAACAGGGCAGATCCTCTAAACAGAAAATAAATAAAGAACAATGGACTTAAACAGAACTCTAGGACAAATGGGCTTGACAAAGCTTTATAGAACATTCTATCCAAAAGCCAATGAATATATGTTTTGCAGATCAGCTTATGGGACATTCTCTAAGATTGACCATATCCTAGGCCATAAAACATGCCTCAACAAATTTTAAAAAATAAGAAATTATAGCATGAATCTTCTCAGACCATGGTGGAATAACATTAGAAATCAACCCAAACAGAAACACTTATGTCCACACAAAGTCTTGGAAACTAAACAGCTTTCTACTGAGAAATTATTTCATTAAGGAGGAAATTAATGGAAATCAAAAGATTATTTGAACTAAATGACAAAGGAGACATGCATTATCAAAATCTGCATGACACAGCTAAAACAGTACTGACAGGAAAATTTATATCCATAAAGACCTACATCCAAAAGACAGAAAGATCACAAATGAATAATATAATGAATCATCTCAAAGAACTGGAAAAGAATGAGCAACCCGATCCCAAACCCAGCAGAAGAAAAGAAATAACAAAGAACAGAGCATAAATAAATGAAATTGATAATGAAAAAACTATATGGAAGATTAATAAAACAAAAGATTTGTTCTTCCAAAAAATAAACAAAATTGGCATTCCTCTGGCTAGATTAATGAGAAGCAGAAAAGAAAGGACTCTAATAACCTCCATCAGGAATGA